GCCACGGGCCTTCAGGGTGCATTGCCTAGAAGGAAACCAAGGCCTGATCTGGGCCAGCCCAAATTCAGAGGTTACAAACACGCATAAGGCAGAAGAGTAATTACTGATTATCCACAGAGCTGGATGATCCAACAGCTGCTCCAGTCAAGAATAGAGAGTTGCCCTACAACAGAAGGGTACCAGAGACATTTCTAGGAGGCCATACAGCTGTTGTTTGATTTAAAAACAAGTAAAAAAAGTAAAGCCAAGCACTACTAATGATGTAAACTGGAGGTATACCTGACCCATATAATTCCTGGCTGAAGCTCATGGGCTTGCCACGTACACACAGTGAGGTACTCCACTGTTCCTCTCCAAGAATTTCGAATAACACCACATGACAAACGTACTCTGTCAGCTCACATTACTTCACGCACGGCAAGAAATACAGCCTCCTGCACCGTTCAGGCTATTGATATGAAAGTTATTTGGAAAACACAAGGCAATAAATTGCAATAAACACCTCTAAAGGAGGTGCAGAACTCAAGGGGGGGTGAGCTACTCGCTGCAACCACCACCCACTGGCAAGCCTATATTTACAATATAGGACACAACACCTCCTAAGAACGTGGATTTAATCCAAGCAGTAGATTATTCCCTCAATTTCCTTTTTTTTTTTTCTCCTTTCACATCACTTCTCTCTCTGTGAGACCTGTTGTTCTTCCCTTTAACTCTTTCCAGCTTCAGAAAAGACGTTCACCTTCTCTAGTACCGACCAGGACTACCAGTCCCTGCTTGGCGGGACTCCCAGATGAGCAGCAGAGCAGCTCCGTGCCCCTGCAGAGTCCTCACCTTGGCTGCGGGGCTCTTGACCCTCACTTTCAAGAAAGTGTTAAATTTCAAATGCTGCTTGAAAACACTCAAAGTGTTGCAAAGCAGATGTGAAAGCACAAAGGACCCTACTGATCCAGCACATGAGGTTTAACCTCATCCCCGCTCCAAGCCCTGCAGGTTATTCCCCGTCTGAGGATGGTGGTAGCACAGGAGCATCCCCTGAATCAAATCTGCAAATCCCCTTTGAATCCCAGGAGAAGAAATATACTATAAAACCTCAAATCCATAAATCCCCTTTGAATCCAAGGGGAAGAAATACCCTGTAAATCCCAAAGCCTTGAAGTCAAAGGAGCATCAGTCATGCATCTGGTGGCGCTTGCCCAATTCAGGCTCTGATCCTCAGCGAGTGCCAAAGTGAAAATGAAAGTTGTTATCACTTCACAGAAATAATTTTTCCTCGCTTCTGCCCTCCCGAGCAGCCCGTAGCAGCCCGTCCCCGCACCTCCGCACGGGAAGCCCCGGCATGCCGGCACGCACCGAGCTGCTCAGCTCACCCCTACCCTCAAAGCACCCGCGCTTGCCAGCTCTCTGCCAGCCACCCACTTGTTTCTTTCCACCTATTTCTTAGCAGACTATGCAAACTTCCCCACACAGTGGAAAAATCCAAGACTATTTTACCAGAATAATCGTGGCCTGCTGTGTCCGGCCGCCCAAGCGCCTACAGTCACGGTCGCATGAGGCTGCGCTGCCCAAACCCCACTTCCCCTTCTCCTCCCGGCCTCCATGGGAACCGAGCTAGCGAGCCGAAAATAGCCTTTTTTGGAGGAGGGAGTGTGTGTGGGGGGGGAAAATAAGATTAATTCCAGCATCCCTGGCTATCTGAGACCTGACGGCAGGGAAACACCAAGGACAAATCCCCCTTCGCAGCAGCAGCAGCGCCCTGCACTTGGGCTGATTTAACCTGACGTCCGAGCAATACCTTCAAACCTAGCAGAGGATTAGGTCAAAAAGTACAGAACGGCACCCTTTCGGATGGCTTTTCAGTTATTAGTGAGGAGGCGACTAGGAAGGGCGCTGTCCCGCGCGCCCGTTCTCCTGCCCGCGCGGAGGAAAGCGCGCGCGTC